GGAGCAATAGGAGCAGATTGTCAACACGGGGTGCAATGGCAAAGCAGGGTCATTCGCAGTATGAGGCCGCGAGTACCGCCCAGGATGACATTTCAAACTTTCGTAGTTGACCTCACTGCAAGTGATACTGCCTCGTCGACCGATTTTCATGACATACTTACAAGCCTAAAACTACAGGACCTAGCTTTCATGAATCGTATGGTGCTTTACATGTATATGCTTCATTGTTCTCAGCGGCCCGGGCTGGGGACGTTTTGCTGCTTAGAGAAATAAGGAAGCGCGATAGCATCAGCGAAAGGTGAACAAGACAAATGGAAGCAAGAAGAAGTAGCTGATCAGTGTCGTCGTATCCGGTTCCACCACACAGTACCAGTGCGCGTAGTGGTAATCGCATGGAGGTCAGGGTTCGCGGGGTCTACGGTGTTTGCCGTGCCGCGGCGCGCGAGTTGGCGACTTTCCGCCCCTCCCAAACGCGGATCAAGCCGAGAGCCGCGTCGTGGGTTCCTCCGCCGCGCGCTCGGCGCTTCACGTGCTCTCGCTCCCCGCAGTGTAAGTGCCTCCTCCTCCTACGTTAAAGCAAAAATATATACCTCTTCTACCCTAATCCCTAACCCTAACCTTTAACCACCCTAACCAACCCTAACCGACCCTAACCAGTAACCCTAACCTTCAACCCTCCTAGTACATGAACTAACACCTATCTACTAGTATCCGGGAGTAGGACTAGCCCCGCGAAGCCCATGTACACTCGAGTTAGGGCTAGCGCTCCGCTTGCTAGCCCTAACTCGAGTGTACGGGGCTCCGCTGAGAAAAGAGAACAAAAAGACATCGGGAATTGAACCCGCAGCCTTCCGTAACACCTGGCCACACGGGCACACAACCGATACGGCACTGGAGCTTGAAAATAGAGCGTTTGTACCCAGCCATACCAGCTACTCAGCTCGATCACGCGACCTGAGCCGACGCGTCGTCGCGGCCGCCGTTCCGGTGTCGGCAACGGCCGGCTTGGGAGGGGCGGAAAGTCAAAGATGCGGCGCGCGCTTCTTTGTGAACGACGATGACGCACGCGGCGTTTGAGATCCTCGAGCTTTCCTGCACCTTGCTGTGCCGCTGTGGTAGGGAGCCACTCCAAGGACGCACCCCGCGCCAGAATTGACTCTGGGTGCATGTCCGAAGCTGCCGATGAGCTCTTCGAGGACTACCAGAAGAATATGACGCTGGTCTGAGCGCCGCCGCGACTTCAGCACGAGGTTCAACATTCACTGTGTCCAAATCGAAGCATACCGAGGCGTCTGAGGCGTAGGAACGCTCTCATCACGCGAACCACGAATCCTCGATTGCCGCCCGACCGAGGGTATATGTAGGAGACTCCCATGGCGACGCGACGTCGACACCCCACAGGCTGCTTTGGCCAGCTGACGGCCTCGCGACTTTATGTCGGCCCTACCTCCCTTCGCTTCATCCTCACGATATTCGGAACCCCAAGCGCTTGATATACCGCTGGAGGCAGGAGGCGCACACAGCATACCCGATGAGAAGGGTAGTTCGAACAGGTCCGAGCAGGAGCTCGTCGCACGCGCTCAGACGTTCTCCGACTTTCCTGACGGTGGTCTCCAGGCCTGGCTTCAGGTTATAGGCTCCTTCTTTCTCGTCTTTGTAGCATGGTGAGCTCATCGCACCCGTGATTCTGGATCGGTTGCTGACGGAGGCTGTAATGGTCAATCACCGCAGGGGTACTTTCAATACATTCGGCGCCTTCCAAACCTATTACGAAGAAGAGCTGCTGGTCGGCACGTCTGCATCCACTATCAGCTGGATTGGTAGCATCGACGGCTTTATGGTCATGATCTTCGGCACATTGAGCGGCCCTATATTCGACAAAGGGCACTTTAGGGCGCTCATCGCTATCGGCTCGTTCTTCACTGTGTTTGGTCTGATGATGACGAGCCTGTCTACGTCGTTCTACCAGGTCAGAATGGTTCTCGGCTCACCGTGATTGTGAGTCTGACATGTTTCGCAGATCTTCTGGGCTGTGGTCTACTATTTACTCCTAGTGTGGCTATCGTCGCCACATACTTCGAGCGCAAGAGGGCATTAGCTGTCGGTATTGCACTCTGTGGGAGCTCTCTCGGTGCGTTCCACGCAGTTTTCGCCTACTTCACTCACTGAAAGACACTATGTGAAGCTGGCATCATCTACCCTGCGATCTTCCGCCAGTTACAACCTCAAATAGGCTTTCCGTGGACAGTGCGCGTGATAGGCTTCGTCACCCTTGGAGTCCTCGCTTTCTCTCTGGCTGTCATGCGGCCTCGATTCACGTCACGTACTAGTCGCGCGCTACTGGATCCATCCGCGTTCACCGATGCACCATACATGCTCTTCTGCGTCGGAAACTTCCTTAGCTTCATGGGGGCATATATACCCTACTTCTACATAACTGCATTTGCCCAAGCGCACACAGGCGCCAACACAAGCCTTTCATTCTACACCATCGCTATCCTAAACGGAGTATCCGTCATCGGACGCATAATTCCCAACTTCATCGCAGACAACGTCGGCCCGTTGAACATCATCACGCCATGCGCCATGGTCACGGCGATCCTCGCCTTCTGCTGGATCCCGGCCGACTCCGTTGGCGGCCTGATAGTGTTCATCTGCCTATACGCCCTCTCATCTGGAGCGCTGCTATCATTAACTCCGGCATCGATCGGAAGCCTCACACAAGACATCGGTCGTGTGGGCACGCGACTGGGGATGAGCTTGGGTATGGCGAGCTTCGGCCTCCTTATAGGCAACCCTGTCGCTGGAGCGCTCGTCAATCTGCGGGCCGGCAGCTTTGTGCACGCACAAATATACAACGGCGCGATTGTCATCGGCGCGGGCATCTTCATGGCGCTCGCACGCGTTTCCAAAGTCGGTTGGTCTTTACGCGTCAAGGCTTGAATAAGGCATCATCTCCAGCGGAGCGTACGATTGAGAAGTCCTTTGTCATATACCCTACGCCTGCCGCGTACTTCTACTAGACATATACACATGATAATGCGCTCGCCCGTCCATGACAATCGCAATGTGTGAACCGCGAACACCCCGTCGGAGTTGTATTCCGATTAGTAGGATGAAAATCCGTCACGCTAGGATCTCATGCGATGATGGAAGACGGCGAGGTGAAAGCCTTCGAGGCCGCGTGAGTGCCGGCGAGTCGATACCCGCAGTCTCTTGCGCGCTCTCCATATCGGCACCTTGCGTTCAGAGTCCCTGTAAAGCTACGCGTGAACGAGAAAACACGTATCAGGCGGTCAGGTCCGAGTACTGATGTTCTTTCTGAGCCACGGCTATCACAGAGCCTATTCGTATTCAAGCTCTTGAAACAATGGGGAAGGGGTCTTCCGCGGAGGTCTCGGCGACGCTGGCTGATGCCTACTATGCGGCTATCATGCCCATGAAACCGTCAATCTTCACCGGCACCGTTCATCGCAGGGGTCCTTGAGCTTGATCTCGTACGAGGGTATCAATAGGGTGGCAGTGATGCACAACAGGTGTCGTACAGACAATGCAGGTCTTGGGTACTCTACATCTTGTACAGGCCATGTACACGACGAACCAACCATAGGATCGGCTGCCTCAGAAGCATGTAAGGAGATGCCCAGTTGCGTCAAGCTTTGTGCACGCTATCGTCATCGGCACGATTCTTGGACAGATCGGATAGCTCCACGACACGTTCGTCGTCATGAGGGTCTCCAACGGCGACCTATGGCCTCATCAACAAACTTCTCTTTGCCCGAAGAAAACCACACGACTCACAGCAGACTTCCACTCGACAGCGTGCCCGACCCGACCCAAAGGATCAGAATGCCTTCCAAGAGGTTTCGCGCCTTTAGACGGGTCATCCTGATGCTGCTCGCGCTCGCGCAAGACTCGGACTTCCAGACCAGCACCAGTATCAGAGCTCGCTTGGTAGCGACCGGCCCATGGCGAACGGCCAGAACCTAAGTGATGTGGATCACTACGAGGCAGCGAGGGACTGTCCTGGAAGAACGCTCGTCCGTTGAGAGTTGAAAACAGGCTGTTCGAATATCTATCTCCGCGTATCAGTTAAACCTCCTCGCGAGACAGACATGCGTCACGTACAATTTCCCCAAAATGAGAGGTCTCCGCGCAGACGTGAGCTCATGGAGAGGGGTCATCATGACGCTAGTAGACTCACGGAGCCACGAAGTAGTTGTCCTGCGGATAGATCTTCCACAGAGCGAGGTCGACACCGGCGGTGACAGCTGTGAGTAGCCCGGTCTGCACGGAGCTGATGATGAGCCTGTCGTAGAGCGATTGCGATTGTATCCAGAGAGTCCGTGTCCGGGCCTGGTAGAGCTGTGTATGGCATGATCAAGCACGTTCTCCTCATAGAGCGTCGCAGCACACACACCAGCCAAATCATGCTCCCAGCAATTAAGACGTCTACAGTGAAGGACGTCGCCAACCAGATCTATTCACTCTTGAGTCTATCGTCTCTTCCAGTCATTGATCACACATACATCGACACTGGTTTGGATGTCGGCGAAAGCCGCGAATGACAGGTGCGCTTTGAGGATCTGCGTCATCGGGCGCATGAGTTTCCGCCTGAGGCTGATGAATGATCAAGGCGAGACGCACTATGACGGGCGTGTGCAGAGATGCGCCGAATTGCATGAACGAGAGCTGGAAGAACGTGCCGTTCAGCCTCAGAGTCCAGGATGCAGCAATCCAAGGATGGCACCTACCAAGATGATGATGATCGCCATCACCCGAGAGAACAACGAGCGCTGCAGGACCCAAATTCGCCTATGAGGACGAATGGCGATGAGATTGGGGAGGCGTCGTTGAGAATAATTGCGTACCAAGCATAGAACAGCTGGACCAGTAGAGCAACTGGGCAGAGCGTGAGTGCGCCGTTTCGACGTAAAGGTCATGCCAACGTACCCAGGCCGCTCAGAGCAGGTATCAAAGGCTCACTCCATGGTACAACAGTGACAAGAGCAACCGGGTCTCCCCATATATCGATAGCAAAGTGCCATAGAGCTTGACTGGAGATAGCCGTCTGCGCGACATCGATGACGAAGATGGAGTACACTATTCGATACGGGCTGGTCAGCAAGCGCGATACTTTCAACGACGGTGAGAGTGAATACCTAGGCATCTCAACCAAAACTTGTTCACTGTCCGCGTCCTTCCTTTCTCGTACAGATCTATACACCATGTCAGAACGCGGCAAGAGAGTACCCAAGAAGCGTCTTCTGCTTACAGAGCTGAAAGAACAACATGCCGAGGAGGAGCCAGTTGACACTGTGCCCGATGAACTAACGAGCTTCCGTCACGTAAGGACTACGAAGAGTGCCATCCGGTACTTACGATAGGCCCTATGCTATTGCACCTTGTCAGCAAACGAGTTTCCAGGGCGTGAATCAATTCCTGGAAACGCTTGGGGGACTCACATCGAACGCGTATCATTGTGAGTGGTAAGTGGCGGTGTACCGGACGGGTCTGCCGCTCGGATGTGCATGAGCGTATGAGAGCGAGGATATCCCATAGCACCATCAGTTGACGGGCGCTCTTATGTAGGTCAGACGAATCCGGGGATAAAGCCGCGGCGCATCATGGCCCAGTGTATCTGTGATGTCTCTCTCGTTAACCTCTGCTGCGATGCGTAATATACAGGAGAATTTCTTTACCTCTTTGAAGTTGCATGATATTGAGCGCAATGGCCCGGGGCCATTTGCTCGACCTCAACCGCGAGCCGATAAAGCAGAACGGGGAGCGAGGCGCATAAGCACGACTAGTCAAGTTGTGCATAGGCGCGAGAATATGCCATAGACTGGTGCGTCTAACTTCAGACCGCTGCCGCCTGGTTGGCGCAGAATCGGCTGCCGCAGGCGACCACCAAGTGAGATGAATACGATATTCCATTCGGTTGTGCGAGACTCCGACGTATTCCGGTGCGCTGCCCAGATGCTCCACTGTACTAGGCCAGCGCAAATCGCTATGACTAGTTCCAGCCTCCGCAGTGTCCGTGTCGTCGCACATATCAGGCATGTTGCATGGAACAAGTGCGATGGAAGAAAGGCCTGTCCGTGATGCCCGTATTTCTCTGAAAATAGTATGGCATCAGCCTTCGGAGAACCCGAGCAGCCCGTACACGCGTCGGAAGCTTACAATATACGTACGCCCAACGGAGAATTCGCCAGCCTACCTCGCCGTCAGGTCCGTCACTGACAACGGGCGGCCCAAACTTCGTGATGAGGAGGTGATAGAGTTGATGACGGCTCAGACTCTAGGCAGGAGCTAGCCAGGCTTCCATCATGCACCTTCGGTAGAGCAGTATGGTCCATGGTCCATGGAGCGTAAGACACGCTAATGGTGGGGAGACGAACGTTAGACAGAGCCCATTCACAACAGACGTGCGGCCCGCCCACCACGTGGTGGCGTGCCGCGCGCGCGAGTACTGAGTTGAACTTAGACCCTATTCAGACCTAAACCGCCATGCAGTCCTTCCCTGAGGTCGTGCATTGGGGCCACTATTGCACATCGAGCTTTATCGGGAAGACACCGCTCCCTTCGGAATCGCTATAGATCTGTTGGAGTAACCAGGTACAGCTCCCGTTCCTCTCGTCCGGAAGATACTAGGCCGAACTGGCGTACCACATGGCGTATTATCTTGCACGCGAACCTTACGGTCACCAGAGATCGCCGACAGAACAGTTTGTTTCAGAAGGGGCATTCGTATAGGCAATGGCCTTCAAGTCGACAACCTCATCAGAAGTACTGCTCGCAGCAAGGGCGCTATCGCTAGAGAGTTTCCACTATCGAGTAGAGTCTTGCTTGGCCCTGGGTCCTTTATGGTGGTATTCGTGCAACGTTCACAACTTCGAGGCCTCACTCTACATGTCTGGTACCCAATATATGTGAAGGAAAGCCAGAGTTATATTCATACTTGGTGAAAATAGGGCTTAGTTCTCGAAGAATGTCAGGTGGTCGAGTACTTCTAACCCATACCCATCTGCATTCGTGCTGTGGCTCAGCTCCGCCCATTGTTCCTGATCTGCCAGAGTCCCCTTCGCTGTGAGCTGCGCAAGACCCCATGCATCGGTGCCGAGCTGAAGACGCTTCGGTAACTTCTTCTCCGTTTCACCTGCAATCTTGATCATAGCTTGTACCGCGCGCTGTACATCTCCGATCTGCGGAAGCTGAGCGAAGGTTTCCATGAACTTGCGACTTGGCGCGTCATCGGGGTAGGCGGGGTGTCGAGGAGCTACGATCATGTTGTTGGTGAGCCAGTTCGTGCCGAACGATCCCGGTTCAATGACGACCATCTGGATGTTCCACTCAGGAGGAAGTTCGGCGGCGGAGGACAGCGTGAACGTCTCGAGGGCTAGAAACGAACTTAGTGATGATGTAGAAGCATGCAATGTGCACCATTTCCATACCTGCTTTAGCGGATGCGTAGAAGTTAAAGGTCGGCGGAGAGATGTATCCCGCAAGGGACGATATTTGCAGCACTCGTCCACCCAGTCCCTTGGGGTTAACTTCGCGGAAGAAGCGTACAGCCTAGACAATGATCAGTTCAGCCCTTCTGCTCGCTGCGGGAGGGAGATAGTCAACGCACTTGCTTTGTGATGTACACCGGACCCCAGAAGAGTGTTTCGAAAAGCGGTCGTGATAGCTCATCGGTAATAGACTCCATCTCGCCCTTGAGACCATATCCGGCGTTGTTCACAACGACGTCAAGGCGCCCAAAATGATCCTTGATGGTGTTGAACGCCGACGCGATTGCAGCCTCACTCGTGATATCGAGCCGAAGGACAAGCAGCTGCGAGACTGGGTACTTCTCCGCGAGCTCATCAACAGTTGCAGACGATCGCGTGGTTGCGACAGCACGCTCGCCTTTGGCAAGTACAGCTTCAACAAGTGCGCGTCCAAGGCCACTTGACACACCGGTGACTTCGATGGAGTCAGAGACAGCAAGAGTAGGTCAAGTGGAAGGCATACCGAGCCATACGCGCGAGTTATCGGTCATCGTGGGGTCGAGTGGTGAGTACTGAGAGGGAAATAATAGACGGCGGCAAGTCAATTCGTGTATCAGATCCTTATATCAGGATCTACGGGGAAGTAACCTCGAATGCCGTGTTCTTGAGCCGCCGTTGCCTGGGATAGACTGCCGGCGTCTACGGGACCTGGACTACCCCATTCGCGCAAGTCCTCGCGTCTCCAAGTATGCATGACACATCTGTACGACGTGAATCGGTTGACCGCCACATTCCGGTCATCACACCTGCTTGTCGTCTCGGCCTTGATTGCCCCGGCCTTCTCGCAATGATACCACTGGCTACTGTACGACCTTATCGTCGTATAGGCTCACTGGCCATGCGCACACCAGCTCTTGCCGAGGACTGATTATTGTCGTTTCGCACCCTCGCCATCTTACTGTGGAGTCGTCACGCGCGCCTTGTGCGGAAGGATGCTCGTCCGGAAACGACGGAGAATTCTGGTCGACAAAGGGTGGTCCAATGCACGGTAAACTGAACGTAAGTCCAATCACGCAGGTAACTCCGCTCTCAAATCGACAGCGCTGAGGAAAGAATATTTGCGGACGGCAACATGCAGCGCTCCAGAATGATGTACGGTTCTTGTGCAGGATAGGCTTCGTACACCACAGTGGAACAAGTATCCATGATGCGTCTCGTGGTTAAGAAGGCTGGGTAGGATGAAGACAGTCGCAATAGGTACATTCATGAGTTTGGCTGGGTGACGCGCGCGACTTGCGATCGTGGCGGAAGGCAGATAACGCGCCGCCTGGAGACGCGTTGAGTTGAACCACGACCACGATCACTAAGGATCACTACCGCTGCTTCGAACTTATGCTCACCCGTAACATCCCTCGCTCATGGGCGGATGCCTCACGAGATTCTCGGCAAGGAAGGACTTAGCGAGGATAGTGACTTTCAGACCGCGTCGACCGCGGACAGGCCAGTCGTGAACGTGACGCTCAACGCCTCAACCGGCGAACGCAACGTCGACGCAGAGCTGGAAGGGATGGTGCGTGCTGTGAATATGAAGATTAGTTATTTTGCCAACGCCTATCCCCCAGACGCACGACGAGGGGATCATCAGAGCCGCATTATAGGTTTAACTGTAATCGTGAAACTGTCCAAGAAGTTCTCAAGCAATCCTCGGCATCTCGCTCACACGACGACTACGCTGCGGGCGATGGAGTTGTTGAGCACAGGTTCCCCTTTGTTCGCTATCATGTGCACGGAATGTACAGGCCGACTTCTACTTTTGAATGATAGTCATGAAATCAAGACGGATGCCGGTTCCGGAGCATGTATAGATGAGCGGAGAATCCGACCTGCGAAGATGGCAGTCACAAGTTTGGCGCTAGCGCGGTGGGAATTGTGATTGCATCGTGAACTAGATCGCGCTTTGATTGAATAACTAAAAGCGTTGTCAGAACCGAGATGTCTTTCTGTTCATCATAGCCTCGATGCGGGCGAGCGCACGAATCGAACGAATCTCGGAGGCGTGATCCTGCAAACTCGCGTCTCTGCCGAGCCCGAAGCGGCACCTTCTAGTGGGCACTCTTGGAACGCCGTGGGCTGCACATCTTGGGCGCACAGACTGCAGCAATACGTGTCACTGCGTGGGACGCATGGACTACGATGGATGATCAACTCCTGGATCCTTTCGGCCCGCTCATCTCACTACCTTCCCGCGCTGCTGAACGCACTTATAACATACTCGATTCGCCTCCCGGACCTGTACCGTCGCATGTATCCCACCATGGCGCCACTCTCAGAATTGGACTCCCTGCAACGAACACTCAATCAGGCTATAGATTCTCTACGCGATGAGCTGAACAGACAATCTTTACCGGAGCTTACCTCGAAAGCTCATCGGCATCCGATGGATGACTACGCGTTTCTCTGTTCGCCTCGTTTGTACGAGGCCCGCAGGCTTACTCTAGGTGCGCCTTCTAACACTGATGCTGTTATCCGCTCGTTCAAATCTTCCTCGGCAGCGGCTATCGTGAGCGCGTTTACTCTGTTCCCTCGGTCTTTGCTTCTCACGCGTGTGGCCTTCATGCAGGGCGAAATCAAGAACCTTGTCCAGTTCCCCTTCGAGAAAGTCGTTGAGCAGGCTTGCGCCGTCTACGACACCGCATGTCTTGACATCCTTGTGAAGACTGGTCTCGTCGACAAACTTGCCGAACCCTCAGTTCTTAATGATGGCATGGATGTGCACGACTTGCAGGAGGCTCTCGATATGGACGCCATCAAGCTCACGGTCGTGTTGCGCGATCTATCTTCGCAAGGCTGGCTTCGCGAGCGGAGGGAAGGGACGTTTGCGCTAGCACGCCCTGCTTTGGAACTGATCGGAACTTCAGCGGGACGTATGTGGGCACTGTACGTGAGCCCGTCTGGTAGATATTTTGAAACTAACTGATTACTGGCGCGCAGGAATACCGGCAGACCCCTCGTTGCTCAGGCTCTCATGGATCAACTTACGCACCCAGAATGGAAGTATTCGCATCGCGCCAACCACAGTGCCTTCCAACTCTCGCACAAGACCGACTTGGCTATCTTCGACTGGATGAAACTGCATCCGGACAGGGCATCCCAACTGTCGAAGACGATTCAGGTGTGTCGGAGTCTGTCATTGAGTTGTATCATGAATGGTACTGAACACCTGTAGGCTGTTGGAGATGCGTATCGCGTGGCAACTGTGAACGACTTCCCCTGGAAAAAGTTAGAAGGACGTACCTTTGTCGATTGCGCTGGTGGACAGGGTAATCTATCCATTATCCTTTCCGAAATGTTTGTTCCCATCTGCCTCGTTATCAGTGTTTTGACTTGTCTGATACGATGGATGCAGCCTTCCACAGAGCCAATTCATTGTTCAAGATCTACCCGAGGTCATCGCTACCGCGCGCGAGAACATCGCGCGGACAGCCCCCGCGGCCGCTCAATCGGCACGGATCATTGCCGAGGTAGCCAATATTTTCGACGTCCAACCTCGTCGCGGGGAAGGATTCGTCTATCTTTTGCGCCTTACCTTGTATGTGATCAGCCTCTCCTCTCAGTTTTGTGATACTCAACACCGCTGATGCCAGGCATAACTGGTCGGATGAGGCATGCGTGAGTGTCAAAGGTTTTCTCACCGCCAGTATCCGATAGACTCAGCTTCACACGCACTGACAGATATCGATCTTGAAGAATATCGCGTCCGTTATGTCACCGACTGTACGTGCGTCTTATGCTGGCCAGAGGCAGAGGGCTCATCTTCGTTCCAGTCCAAACTCATCCTACTGGAAGTCGTAGCGCAGCCGAATACTCTGCTTCTCGGACCTGGTCCTGCTCCTGGTGTAAGTTGCGAGCCGGCCGTAACCCTGGACACTCTCATTGGCGAGGAAACGTATCGTCCGATCACCTCGCCAGAGTACATTCCGACGAACTTCGGTGCTGCCGCAAGGACATCTCTTACGCTTGATATCCAGATGATGGCACTGTTCAATGCTCAGGAGCGAACTCAGGTGAGTGTACAATCGAGAACGTATAACAATCGATTCTGATAGATGTGGCAGCGAGAGTGGACTGTTCTCGCCAATTCAGCCGGCCTTCATGTCGTAGACGTGCATGCGTTCCGAGGCACAGTCTCTGCTCTAGAGTGCGAACTCAGTAGACCCTGAGGCCTGAGGAATTGTTGGTCAATGCGAAGGATTGAGCTTGGCTCATTACCATGTGCTACTATTGTAAAGACGAGATCGGGATATGTAGTGGAAATGGGTGCATAATATGATATTCACTTGGAGCTCTAGGGGAACGTAGTTTGACCGGGAGCATTGTAAGGAGCCTGTGCAAAAGGAACTCCGACTTGGTCGCCAGGAGAGAATCAGAAAGATGGGGTATGCATAGGCGCGCGAATGCATGCAGCCGCCAGCGCAGGCGCGTCGTCCGACAACGTGGGCGCGGCGGGCGCCACGTGGGCGCGCAGCTCCATGAGCGGCGGGCTGGCGTCGCACATCCTGCCATCATCGCTCATGATCTCAGACTGGCGAATCGTCTTGCTGTCAATCTCGTGGTCGCAAGTTGACTTGCCGATAACCGTGTATCGCCCAGGCGGCCGAGATCAGACTCGGTACCGTGTATCTGCTGAACCGTTTTGAAATCGCCGGGGTCTTCCGGGGCCATGGAAGACTGCAGTCCGCCGGTTAAGGCCGCGGCGTAAGCGCATTATACTCTAACCTCTAAGCTTGACGAGCTGCGCAACCATCCAGCAATGGGCGCCTGGGACATGTCCGACATGTCGGCTGCTCCCGCAGTTTCGACTTGTCTACAAGTGGCGGGTTTCTGATAGAGACGCAACACAGCTTCCCAGGTTTCACTTGTTGTTCGGGAGAACGTCCGGAGTGCTCTTGCTACACCATCTTCAGTTCTTCTGGGCATACGTACTGGAGGTGATACAAGAAGAGAGCTCTCCCGCGTTGCACGGCTACTTTGAAACACACCGAGATCTCTGGTTGGACTGAATTTAGCGGCGGTCTTTGTATGGGCCCTCGTATCGTTTGAACTTGCCGAGTTCCCACCCACTGATGGGCATGAACTCGCTCTGAGGCTCGGGAATTAAGAAATAACCGTACTTTTCGCACCGTCACACCCGACATACCATTCTCACCATCACTGATTGTTACTCTCTGAATAGCGGCGATGGAACATAAAAGAGTGCCGAGTGTTAGAGTATCCGCCAGTAATCGCCGGCGGGTTCTCTTCTTTGACGACCCTTTGCAAGACACCTTCCGCAAAGATGGTCAGCTCGTCGCACGCCACAGAGCGACTCCTGTACCTTCATCTGACTCTTCGCACAAGGAATCTAAGAGCGATGTCGTCGTTATCGGTGGAGGCCCAGCGGGCTCGTACACCGCTACCTTACTAGCCCGAGGTATTTGACTCGTCACCGCTCTTCCAATGCCGTCTGCTCATATCACTATCCTGCACACAGAGGGCTTCACTGTTACTCTTTTCGAACGCGATCAGTTTCCAAGGTACGTCATCCGGCCGGTATAGCTTCCTGCGAAACCTGACGAACAAACTCTGTGTGGTAGGTACCACATCGGGGAAAGTCTCTTGCCGTCGATTCCGCGCTACTTGTCCATCATTGGAGCCGAGGACACTATCAGAGCGAAAGCATTCAAGATCAAGGTCAGTACACTCTACACTGGCCCTTCGCCGCGCAGAACTGACCGTCTCTGAACTCGGAACGAATAGCCGGGTGCGGCTTGGAAGCTCAACCAGTTCAGCCGTGAAGGATGTGCGTTCACCCATCTCCTTCTTACACACACTCCTAATGACTCACCTACAGATACTGACTTTTCGACTCTGGATTCCTCTGATACGACCTGGAATGTGGTCAGTCGGCGTCGTGTTCAAGCAATGCAGTTGCTAAGGGTGTCCTCTAGATACGCTCAGAGTTCGACCACGCACTGTTGCAGTACGCTGCTGACTCTGGAGTGCGCGTCATCGAGAACACGAAGGTCACCTCCATCCAGTTCGAGGACCCAAACTGTACAGAACGTCCGACAGCTTGCAAATGGGTGAACAAGGCCGGCGCCGAGGGCACTGCTCGATTTGGCTGGATTGTCGATGCTTCAGGACGGGCAGGGATACTGTCTACGCAGTACCTTCACAACAGGAAGTTCAACGCCAGCCTCAAGAACGTTGCGTGCTGGGGATACTGGAAGAATGGGGGAGTGTATGCACCTGGGACCGAAAGGGAGGGCGCCCCTTGGTTCGAAGCCTTGACAGGTACCATAATAGTTCATTCAGACCCATGCCACCTCCGCATGCTGACATGGCTTCGGCGCAGATGAGTCTGGGTGGGCATGGTATATCCCCCTCCATGACGGTACCACCTCCGTCGGCATAGTCATGAACGAGACAGCCAGCAAGCAGAAGAAGGGCGAGATGCGCTCGTACCAGCAGGGAGGTGGCATCCTCGCTCAACACTATCACGAACAGCTAGCACTGGCACCAGGGGTCCGCAAGCTTCTACAATGCGCGATCCTCGTCTCTTCTGTCAAGTCCGCAAGCGACTACAGCTACTCGGCTTCTTCTAGCGCCGGTCCTGGGTATCGTATGGTCGGCGACGCCGCAGGTGAGCCACGACTCACGTTCGAGCGGCCGTGTGCCGTATGGAAGCTTACTCATACTCTTCACCAGCTTTCATCGACCCGCTATTCTCGTCCGGAGTGCATCTTGCATTCACAGGCGGTCTGTCTGCTGCGTGTTCTATCGCTGCATCCATTCGTGGGCACTGTACCGAGGAGCAGTCCATTGCGTTCCACAACTTGAAGTGCGGAACAGCTTATACTCGGTGCGGCGAGTCACTCAGTGCACGGTCCTCGGCTTCTCACCCAATGTCATCCCAGATTCCTCGTCGTCGTCATGGGTGCATACATGCAGATCAGAGCGCAAGATATGCCAGTCCTACAGGATGTAGACGAGGGCAACTTCGACCGCGCCTTCAGTTTGCTTCGTCCTGGTATGGGTCAATTTCTGTGCTCTCGTGACTATGAATGCTCATGTGCCTGTAGTTCTCATAGGTGAACCCGACATCAGCGCAGGGGCTCTGACAGAAGATGAGCTGACGCAGGCTATGCTCTTCTCCTCTGCTGTTGTGATGGCGCCAACAACGCCTGCTATGCACGCCGACGTTGCGGAACGGTTTCCAGCTTCGTTGACGGACATCAACGGACCCGTGCTGCTCCCTGAAGAGATTAGGCTAATCGTTGGCGAGGAAGACGATGACGCGTTCCACGTCCTGCGCGAGATCAACGCCCGGAAGCCCATCCACCAGATGTACGACGTAGGACGTCACTTCGTACATGAAGCGTTTGGAGGATTCTCGCCATGTATCACGCGTGGCGAGCTTGGACTCGCCGCTCGTTGTGAGCACTGAGCTGGCGTAGCTCATATATACCATGTCCGTCGTCACGTTAGATTGGGGAAGGGCGGGGACCAGTCCCTATCGTTGGTTTATTCACTCTTCCGAAGGGACTGTTGTAGTAGCAAGAAGAAGTATATCACCAAGGACATAGTTATAGGACGAGATATATACACGAACATCTAGCTTCTACAAAACGTCGTTGATTGAACGGGAGCATGGGCGCGCGTGGCAAGCGCGTCGCGCGAAGAGTTGAGGCGGCCGCCCCGCCGCGGACGGGATTCCCGCGGCCTGTCCTCACCGCCACCCTGGTCGACGCGCGTCTTGCTACTTACTTCGATGATTGCCGCATTTCCCCAGATGGCATTATCTAAACTTTCTCATATGCTACATCCCGCCATCTACTGAGCGAATGACTGTCCGAACTTCGTACGCTCAGGAACTCGCCGCCGGGGAAAGAAGAACAGCGTTGAAGTCAGCTCTTTGCGCAACATACTAGTACCAGCATAGCCAGTGGACTCAGATTCCTGCGCTTCATAGCGGGTCGTGGCGGCTGCACTGCGACTATACGATCGACACATTCCAGTCAACGTGGATATCTGATAGAATCTTCAAGTGGTGATAGTATGGTACGCTCGCTCTCAGACGTTTCAAATCCCAGATGATGGAAGTCTTCTGAATTGGGAACGTTCTATATTCAAGAATTCTCACTGATTTTCATCACATCGCATTGCAGATAGGGACGCAATCGAGTTCCGAAGGGCTTTGGTCCCCGGATGAGCCATAAAGTCCATCCAGACGCCGAACGCCAGCTAAGAAGTATCGGCGCTTGCCCTCCCGCTCACTAAACACCGATACCATCCTTCTACCCGCCGATCTACACGCCATGGCCGCAATTGCGATACCTACGTACACGACCGCGATTGTGAACGGCGCGACGGCGACCGAGGACGTCACCAAGAATGATGTAGGAAAGGAGGACGGCTACGCGAGCGCGCGTGCGCCGACAGACCTCGTCTCGTGCATGATCGACCAGTGGCGCAAGCTTCAGGATTACAGGTACGTCAATGACTGCTTCGGGTGGAGTGGACGCTGAGAGTCATTCTGCGCGTAGGGCAGGCAGGTCCGTCGTCGCGGACGGCCAATCGCTTTCGATTGCAGCTGTTGTCGCCTCAGCACGTTATAGCGCCAGTGTGGACCTGGATAAGTCACCCGAAGCCCGCGCGCGCGTCGAGAAAAGTCGTAAAGTAATCGTAGACGCTGTTGTCGCCGCACGTAGCATCTATGGCGTGACTACCGGCGTTGGTGGTAGTGGTAAGTCTATGCCTTCTGGTACCTCGCATGCAAGGCGGTCTAACAAACGACTGTAGCTGACACTCGAACGGACAATACTCTCGCACTGGGACAGGCTCTTCTTCAGCACCACCACACTGGTATTCTTAGCCTAGCCTCACGCGATGACGACGTACTTCCATTGGGCGACCCACTGTCAACAACCGCAATGCCCGAGGCATGGGTTCGTGGGGCTATTCTGGTTCGTATCAACTCTCTCGTACGCGGCCACTCGGCGGTGCGGTGGGAGCTTCTCGAGTCTATGACGGCGCTTCTTCGTGAGAATATCATACCGCTCGTACCCCTTCGTGGCAGCATCTCCGCCTCTGGTGGTACGTATCACATCCTGTCGTCTGATTACAGATGACGGGCTGACAGCGCTCTTCGATCATCTCTAGACTTGACTCCTCTGTCATACATCGCGGGCACAATCACGGGCAATCCATCCATTCGCGTACATGCAGGATCCCGAGCTTCGCACGAACGTACCCTGCGGCGCGCACCAGACGCGCTGGCGGAAGCCGGGCTTGTGCCGCTCCCACTGCTTTCAAAGGAGCCCTTGAGTATCATGAACGGGACGGCGTTCAGCGCTGCTCTGGGCGCTCTGGTCGCATATGATGCTGCGCACCTGGCGCTACTCGCGCAGGTGCTTACCGCCCTCGGAACGGAGGCGCTTCTCGGCGTGCGCGCCAATTACGCGCCCTTCATCCACGAAGTTGCGCGCCCGCACGTTGGACAGGTGATCGATCTCGCCTCTTCCCCTCGAGCTACGTACTCACGCCCTTTCAGATCGAGGCGGCGCGCACTATCTGGGACCTACTCGAAGACAGCCCACTCGCTTTCGCTCACGAGAAGGACGTATCGATTGACGAAGACCGTGGCGAGCTTCGCCAAGACCGGTACCCCCTACGTACTGCACCTCAGTTCCTTGGCCCACAGCTTGAGGACATCAACGCGGCGCTCAACGCACTGACAGTCGAGTGCAATAGCACGACCGATAATCCTCTTTTCGACGGAGAGACGGGCGAAGCTCACCACGGCGGCAATTTTCAAGCGATGGCGGTCACTAGCGCAATGGAGAAGACGCGCCTCGCGCTCGCAGCCATCGGCAAACTTCTGTTCGCACAGAGCACGGAGCTCGTCAACCCTGCCATGAATCGTGGCTTGCCGCCATCTCTCGCTGCCAGCGACCCGAGCTTGAACTACCACGCTAAAGGACTCGACATCGCCACCGCAGCATACGCCGCCGAGCTTGGCTATCTTGCCAGCCCTGTCAGCACACACATCCAAAGCGCCGAGATGCACAATCAAGCTGTCAACTCTTTGGCGCTCATCTCTGCACGAGCGACGCTTACATCCACCGAGATCTTGGGCATGCTCAGCGCCACGTATCTCTATCTACTCTGTCAGGCTATAGACCTCCGTGCGCTTCAGGCCGACTTCAACGCGGGAGTGCAGCAGATCGTCCGCGAACTTCTCGCTACATCCTTCGCAGCGTATGGCGATACGGACGTTCTACTCCTTCCGCGTGTGCTTCCCGCTATACGAGCTGCACTCGATACGACAGGCACCATGGACGCGGTGGAGCGTATGGTAGCCGTTGCAGCAGCGACTGCGCCCGTGTTGATTGACGCATTGGCCAACAGCGGCTGCCCACTTGACGCCATCGTGGGTTTCCGCGCGGCGTTCGCATCGCGCTCTGCGACACTCTTTCAGTCCCTGCGTGGCGAGTACCTCCAAGGCAAACGCGGAAGAACACCGGGCGCACACCTTCTCAATCGCACGCGGTCGCTGTACGAGTACGTGCGGGAAGAACTCGGCGTGCGTATGCACGGCGTCGAGAACTTTGAGCTCTTCTCGAATGGCTTGGGCACGGACGTACCAAGCATCGGGCACAACGTCACGAAGATCTACGAGGCGATCCGGGACGGGAAGATGCAAGCGGTCGTGGTTGGGTTATTGGCTTGAGGCGCGAAACTACGTCTTCACTCGCATCTTTCGGGCATGCGCTCGGCGGGCGGATGGACCGCGCAGTCGAACGGGCCTGGGCAAGCCCGTGTGCAGTCGCGTCTCGTCACAGTGTGACATGACGCGTACGTAGTACTAATCTGTAGTTTTGTGTTGTCGATCATGTATATATAAGTCATTTGCTGTGCCTCGAGTTATGCGTTAGCCTTGAATCCGAACTCGTAGTTGAAAGACAGCCATCTTTCCTATAGGTGCAAGTCCTGGCAATGTTGCAAGCGCCCAACCCGAAGGTTGTCACGGCAGCGGCGCAGGTATCTTTTCGGTTCATAGGGACAAGGGTAGCGCTCTTGAGCTCAGACTCAACGATACATGGCTCTCAGGTTATACCCCTCTCACAAGGACAACTGGCATACATTCAGAAAAGGCCTATCTTATACAAATTCAGGCGGAATCGGTCCTCGGACGTAGATGCCCGATCTTCTCCCAGAAGCCGAGATAGAGCAAGGCATCCTTCTCTCCAAGGGGCGGCATGGCTGCAAGAATGGGCGAGGCCTCACACATACGTGCAGAGTCCATCTTCATCTCCTCACCAATGCGGCCGTCTCGGAAGAAGTCCGCCAGCGCAAGTAGCTGTGCATCATCCTGGGCGACACTTGTCTCCGCAGCCGTGCTTACCCGCGTAGCCCACTCTCTATACTCGACGAGTGGGACTTCAAGGTGGGCGGCGAATGTGCCGAATATGGTGCGCCAATTGGAGGGGTGCGGCGCTACGAGGTGGAAGACAAGCCCGTCGGCGCGCATGACGTCGATGAGTGCGGATGCGGCAACGTCAACGGGCACCCATGAAACCGGCTCATTGCCATCCGGGAGCGCGCGGACAATCTGCCCTAGACGCGCTATCGCGCCGACCCACTCCTGCTTGTTCCAACCTCCCGTTCCCGTGTCCCCAGCGAGCTGTCCAACTCGCACGATGGCAACGCGTAGACCGACCGTGTCGCGTGCCCGCAGCAATACACTCTCGGCAACCCACTTGCTCTCACCGTACCCCATGCCTGCTGCTAACGCTGCATCTGCGATGGGCACCTCCAGCGCAGTATCTTCTGGAGGGGAGCCTAGGTCTGATGTGAACAATGCGCAACTTCATAGTGCAAAGAGAAGAATAACCTTGAAGAACTGCTATGGAGCTGATGAAGACGAAGCGCGCGCCTCCGTCCACAGAAGCGCCGATCGCGAGATCTATGAGGTGCCGCACGCCCTTGATGAGGGGTTCGAAACCGGAAAGCGCGATATTGAAGTCGACACGCCAAGCTACATAGGAGTCAGTCAATAATATTCACCGATACTGTACACGCTGAGAGACATACCGTTGTGGATAATCGTTGTAACTTGACCTTTCAGCTTGGCGTACATGGACAGCTCTATGCCCAGGTTCTCCTGCGCATAGTCACCCAAGAGCAACGTGACCTTCCCATCTGAGAGCAGAGCGGAAGGTAACCCCCATAGCTCAAAAGAGGCGCGCATACGCTGGAGCATCGCGTCAAAGGAGGTGTTTCCCACAGACGCACGGTTCAGAGCATAGACGTGATGAACACCGGGGTCCATGAGAAGCTGTGCCAAAAGGTGTGACCCAAGGCGCCCGGTAGTACCAGTGATCAGTACGACCTCTTCAGGAGAGGTGCCAGCTCCGGACGGCAGGGGCATGGAAGTGAAGCCAGCGCTATACTTGTCCACCATACTCTCCATTGCGCCGGCGTGCCGATGAAGATCGATGTCCTTGGACAGACCGTCGCTACCGCTCACGAGGGATAAGACGTAGTCGCTGAGTGCGCGTATAGACGGATTCCGATATACGAGGTTTTGAGGGACTTGCGAGACTAGAGTGGATGTTGGACCTGATGCACGAAGAGCGCGAACGATGTTGTTCCGAATGTATGCCGCTCGCAGACTAATAGTCATAGTTTAGTAGGGCTCTTAATCTGCAACATGCAAAGACATACCTATCACACCCAAGAGAGAACAGTTCGTCACCGTCTCCGAGGTCCTGTCCCATGATCGTCTTGACTACAGCACGTATGTAGTCCAAGGTTTCGACCGGGGTCCAGAGCGCAGGTGGTTCGGGCCCGACATTTGAGGACTCCTCGACGTTGCTATAGATGGTTTCTATCTCCTTCTCGTATGCCGCAAGACAGATATTGCGCCTCGGATTGCCTTTGGCCGTGAGCTCGAGGGGCTTATCAGGACTTGCTACGAGGATCATCTGGTAGGCTCGTGATAAGCCAGGGTACGTTCTCTCGGATGCCGTATCCAACATTACCTCCTTGAGCAAACGAGAGTGCGCAGGTGCATAGGTATTCATCGCGTTTACCGTCGGCCATACGAGATTACGGAAGTCGGCTACCTTCGCAGCATCGCTGGGGTCAAAGGAATTGACCGGCTGTACCAGTGCACCGTTCATGAAGCGTCCTCGTCCAAACAATACCGCGACATGTATGTTGGGATCCTGTGTAAGAATGCGCTCTGGAAAGGGGTCAGCGATGCGACACCTCAATGCAGCGGGGTCAACGGCGAGAGCCACATACCGAGTGGTACCGGATTGGTCTTTTCTCCCGTTGACAGTATGATCTGCTCGTCCGCGCGCCCATGAAGCTTGAAATAACCCTTGTGCAACGGGTGCTCTTGTATAAGGTCGCCGATCGCGTATCCGGAGTTTCCGTCAAGGGTTACATTGAAGACACTGGGTCCAAAGCGCTCTCCAGCCTATCACACTTGTAAGCTCAGCGATCGGGAAACTCTGGGTGGACATCACCATGAGAAACAGTTCGAAGAGACCCTCCTGATCGCCCTGCGGCATGAGTTTGAAGGTTGCGAGTTTCGCGCTCGGAAGGCGAAAGTATTCCCACTCCTCTGGACGCCCATCGGCCGAATCCATCAGGAAGCAGAGAGGTCCAGTCTCGGTTCTACGCGAAGCAGTTAAGTATAACCTTGCACCTGAGTATGCAGCATGGACTCACGTTCCGTACCAGCAATCTAATACGATGCCCTGTGAGTGAATGACATCCCCCACTGACTTGTTCAAAGGTGATCCGCCGTACGCAATACGCTTCACACGGCTTGCAAGCTGGGTCGCTTTCGTCGGATCCTGCCACCATTCCTAAGCGCGCGTCAGTCTGGCATCAGATCGAGGGGAGGGCGGGGTGCCTAACCTCGATGAGAGATGGCACTGCGACCACCCACTCTGACCCTGATTGAACGACACCTTCATAAAAAGTCGATGCACTAGGCACAATGGGAGGGTGCGAAGGCTTGAAGACTGCGAGTTCCAAGCCAGTGCAGGCAGCGAAGATAAGTAGCGAGGCGCCCATTACATGAAACATTGGCGCCCCATGAACGCCGAGCCGGATGCCACATACGTCAACATCGCCGTAGTCTGGATCGCCGGTTAGATATAGAATGAAGGATAGATCTCGAAAGGAACGAACAGTAGCCGAGGCCAAAGGAGACCCAAGTGCGGTGGGTTATTGGGATTGGTTTCGGAAAAGCACTTGTGCCACTTGAATGTAGTATGAGCGCAGGCGTCTCCGGCGAGAGCGGTGCGATACTATAGCTAGTTGGCGATGGCGAGGCGTCGTCATATAGTATCCCAAATTGGGGCATGTCGAGCAGCTCAAGGCGATAGTTGTCCGCAGAAAGGATATCCTTTGCGCTCGAACCAAGGGCAGTCATCGCGGCATCTTTACTTGTGAACATCTGGTGCACCCCGGTCGAACGAATCAAGTGGGCGATCGCAATCGCGGAGTTCCGGGTCGATATTGGAAACGGCACAGCGCCCGTTCGCTGAATACCGAGCATGAAAGTTGCATAACTGATAGAGTCTGGCGTAGAGATGAACATCGGAGCGCGAGTACGTGTTGGCTTACTCACCGGCATTTGCCAGGATAGCAAACACGGGCCGCAAGGTCCCATCAGTGTACAGATTGCTGCCCAGATCGTACGCAGCTTTGACGAGTCCGGCGGCTACGACTTGCCCGCGATATGCCGTGGCATAGTCTATGAATCCTACGCCGTCGCCGTCCGCGTAGACGAAGAGTTTGTGTTTGCTGCTATGTGCGGCGTGAAATGCAAATAGATCTGGAACGGTCAACTCGCCATTCAATGTGGGAGTAGAAAAGGTTGTGCTATGGACGCCTTGGATGATGGAGAAGTCTTTCATGTACGATGATAGGTCCATGACACGAAAGGGTAGTGTACCTCGAGGGAGAGCCGGAGATGATACGTCCTCGGTAGAGGATGCACGCTATATAGAATGTGAACATTCCCAGCAGCGTCGCAATGAACTACTAGATCGTAAGAGAACCGCCTCGGAGATCGGGCTTGTGACATCGACGTCCAGAACCAGCGGCTGGGTCGCCCTGACCATAGGTGGGTACAGTCCCACCGCATGTGTGCGCTCATCATAGGCGCGATATCATGATGACTTTCTGCGTTTATCTCCGGCAGGTTCACCCGTGTTAGATTGACTTCAGAGCAGGTGCTGCGCGTAGAAGTGCATACCGGATCAGAGATCGTGAGGACTATGGTCACTTGAGTACTGGTTTCTCACTAAGCGGATGGGTTTCATATCGATGGATTGGGCGAGATGGGCGAGAGAGATTGTAAAGCGGCTGGTTGGCCACCGTCGTGGCTGAAGCGACGGCCGTCTATGTGCGTGAAGCGGTGACGCGTCCATCAACTTCACGTGGTGACCAGCCTCACGCCGCGGACTATTCAGGCTTCCCTTTGACCACGACCGTTACCATGTATGGTCCTGCAACTGAGGTCCAGAGCTCCTAGCCTCCTACTAGACAACGACAAATCCAATGCGACCGAAACCATGCAACTGAAACGTATGCGAAGGAACGGGCGCTCCTGTGCGCGCAGTGCGGGTGCAGTCTTCGTGATGCGCGCCTGAAGCCGAGGGGCATGACAGCGCGCACTGGGTGTCAGTATGGTCCGTTGATACCTGTCCATTCCTTGACCGAAACCACTGTTACCCCTTGTTCTATGCGGGACATAAGTAGAATGCTTCGTTATCGGATTCTGACGAGATGATTAGGCGGTGGGAGGAAGAATAACCTTGATCAACGTTGTACTCACACCATCTCCGCTTCTCATTCAGCGCGCAAACTCTGAAGATCAAAGTCAGCCTACGTATGACAGCCCGGCATGAGGATACCAAGGGGTCGAGTCTGCCGATGCTAAGCCGTTTGTGCGGCCGGTTCTGCATGACGAGATCAGATTGATACAGGGCACGAGAAGGATGCATACACCAGCGCCCAAGTGCTTGATTGCAACAGGCGGAATCGATGTACGTGTTGACGGCCAGTCTGAGATGCTATCGGTGGGAGAAGTTTCCTAGGATAAGATATGGCCGGTTGTCTCGGCGTTGCTCTTCTCGAGCGCAACTTCCCCTTCCGTTGGCAGTCGCCCAGTGAGAGCCTGCCCCTGATAGTTCAGCGCGACGGAGGGGGTAGAAGCCTTGACTGACGCGAACAAAGAAAGCATCGGTTGTATCCATGTGAAGAGGTTATCAGTCTGAGCGAACCCCAAACGCTCAGATGCCTTGACCGTGCCTCCTACCCCATATGAGTCTTCTCAGCACCTCCGAACAATGTACCAAGCCATATGTGCTACTGGGTCGACGTCGTGAACCTCTGAGGCTGTCAACGTGTCAGGTTTTGGATGGCCCCTAACCTCCGTAAACAGATACGGAGCTTATTCATGCGGCGTGATTGTGTCCAGCCACCGGCTACTGATCGTCTTTTCGTTCGAGCGCTGCGCTTGTAGCCCGTGCTCTCCACGGTGTACTGATACCGGCTGATCCGAAAGATGGCGTACGCCGCTCACACAGCAGTGGAGATTGTCCTGGAGATACATACATATGTCGACTAGTATCATCGTCAGACGTACCTTTCTCTCCCGAAGCCTTCCTGGTCGATATGGGCATCTCCCTTCGTTCGGCAGAGATTGTGGCCCTCTTTTTAGAGGCTTATGTATACGGCAAGCATATTTCGTCTGCATTCATCCTGTCTCTTGCTGATTGAAGGGTCCAGGCATTTTCTTTGGGCTATATATTTTATTGGTAATCTTTGTACTTCAAGACCAAAGGGGTCGTACCGGCCCTCGACATGACTGGATCCTGCATATATCCTCAATCATGCTTGTGATTGCGACGGCTGTAAGTAATCCCATCGATACTCTCTTCCATGTTGACTTAACGAATGAAACGGCAGCACATCAGCATAGACGTCGCACGCGCATGCACCGGGTTCAACGGCACCACCGCAGCAGAGGCATTCTTCTTTCGTGTGGATAGTGGGACCTTCTTAGCCAAGGGTGTATTGTGGATGATACAGACTATGCTGGGAGACTCGATCTTAGTGCGTCTACTGCTGTCGCTACGCGTCCGCGGTCCTGAACGACTACTACTAGATATGGCGATGCTACGTTGTTTTCGGCCGGAGCGTTCTACTCGTGCTTCCAATGATAGCCGGCTTCCTTCTGTTCATCTGTGATTCTCCCGCCAGTATCCCGAAGATCAAGAAGCTGAGACTCCATTAGGCTCTGCGGTAGGCGTGCTCTACAATTTCGCACACGCTTCGGCCGGGTCCGTGTTTGGCCTCAAGAAATGGCTCACATTGTACTTCTGCTCAACTCTTTTCGTAAACGTGGCTTGCAGCGGTATGTGATCCATTCTGTCTGGATATCGTCGCCGAGAAGCTCACGCGAGGATGATGCTGTTTCAGCTGCCTTGACAATCCAAATAATCCGCAAGGCGCAGAGCACGCCAAGACCTGTCAGCCGGACGGCTCCTGTAGTCGCTGCACTTGTCGCAATCATCGATACGGCATCGCTCTACACAATCGGGTATCTTGGAGTACTCGTATCATATCTTACTGGGTCAAACGGCCAGTATACCGCAATCGACCTCCTAGTTCCACTCGTCGTGAGTCTGCAGCACCTTCCGATCTGACGCGATCCTGACACGAGGCTCTCCTAGGGATTGACCTTCGTCCTCATCATGTTGCAAACAAGATTCCGCAAGGCCTTCGTCGCCTCCTCGTCGCATGCTACCTCGAATCAATCACGACTGAGCGCCTTTGCGGATCGTTTACGAGAGCGGTATCCAAGCCCCAGGGTTACGAATAACCATACGATGGGGACCGTGATCGTGGAGATCACGCAAGAAACGGACGTCGAACGCGATGGCGACAGTTTGAAAGCTGGCGGTGTGGAGAGCATGAGGCTAAGGGATGTTGAAGCTAGGTAGCAGCTGTAGACGCCTCACATAAGTGATTGTTCATCGAAGTTCGAGCACGAACCTGTCAACAGAGCACGCTGAGCTTCATCAGAGGTGTCGGTAAACAGCGAGGCCGACGGGAGCTCTATACGACCGAGGCACAATCGAAGGCTATCCCGCGACAAGTTCATCGTCGAGTTCGTCTAACGTTTGACAGGCCCCCCTCCCCCCGCGCATCTTGTACCGCCGAGGCAGCTGGACCAGCGTACTCGGGGTGAGATCCCGTGTACATGACGATCTCCTGCTTGTCAACCGTTCGCACCAGGAGGCTATTGGGCTGTCAGGTGTATATATATCGCGCTGTATATGGGTTGAAAGGATCGTGTAGCGGGCCTTCACATCGACCATCAGTCGTTGTATCTGCACATTGTAGACAATGATCTGAGCTTACCAATGCGCACGCTGCTGAACGCTTTCTGCTCATATCAGCGAGCGCAAGAAACGCCAACACCGCCCACGACGAGCGCGCGCATACGGAGTTTGCGGTTTCAGCCAATTTCAGCCGCGTTTCCCGTCTGACAAGCCCACCTATATATAGTTCGTCAGTTCATCTATGCAAGCTAAGCTCAGAGCTGGTTACTGCATCACGGCAGCGGCACAGTCGCACTGAAACTGGCCGCCAGGGATCCCTGCATGATGACCCAAGAACGGCCGAGCTAACGCTGGTCATGTCATGGTTGCCTCACACGGTGCTCAAAGATGAACTAACGTCGAGTAATTTCCCAGCCAGGCCGGGTGACATATTCTCGCTTGAACCTCTGCATTATCCGGTGTCTCACTTGAGGAAAGCGCTGGCATCGGCTGGCCATTCTTGTCAACTACCAGGTGACGAACACCTTCTGGGGATACGTTTGTCCAATGTTGTGGATAAGGTGACTGATGGTGCAAGCAATAATAGGTGGAATAGAATTGTCTGGACGTGTAGCCGTGCTCGTGGTGGAAAGGCAACTCGAAGACGCGACTGTGCGCGCGGCGCGGCGCACGCTCTCTGACTCTGCTCCCACCACCATGTCCACAAGCCTCAACTATCATCTTCCAAGTCGGCGAACGATACTCCCTGCCGCTGTCTTTATGCTGAACTGAGATAAGAGCAACTCTGGCGACGTGTCTCTATTCTATCGCCCAACTAGGCGTACTGCTCAACGCTTCTACCTGCTTACGATAATGAGGACATCCGTCTAGAGTCACTTTTTCGCCAGCTCGCTGT